TCTCTCTCTCTCTCTCTCTCTCTCTCTCTCATAACTTAGTTATTAGCTGCATTATAGTCTGCTATCAGCGGCTCAATCCTCCGTTACTAGGTCTAAAATTATGTTTTGGAATTAGCAACGGAGGTGTTGGATGAGATGCGGAAGAAATAATCCAACTCTCAATAGCGTTTTAAGTAGAAAATCTAGACAAATGCCTTGAAATATATAATCTGGTCGATGTCTTGAGGTGTGGTAACCGTAGTATAAGCAGAATAATTGACTCCGGACCATTGAATTATTCGAAAAATAATGCCGTTACACCTCGGGTGTGCATTATTTTTTTTAATAATTCAACAGCCCATCGTCAATTATTCCTTACATATTTTTTTTTTTTTACTTTAAATTTGTAATTTATTTGAAATAATAACCTCTCAGGGGTGCTTCAAGTAAATATTTTACTTATAAAGGGTTCGGCTGACAGAACATTTTCTGAAAGATCTCAATGTTACAAAGATACGACTGAAGTTTATTTTTAACAAGATCACCGATCATTTCAGTCTGATCTAAATAGTTTGAGTTACACATTTCTTCGCAGGTGTTTTATGAATCTTTTCTGAATTGTACAAAGGGACTTTTTTGACAGCTCCAGGGCTTTTGTAAAAAAACTACATTTTTTGAATCCCCACTCACTGATAATCTTGATCATGTAAGTTTTCTAACTTTTTTTTCCCACCACAGCCCATTTTCTCTGTTTTCTCTAGTTGTGTTTCTATTGTATAGCAGGACACTTTTATTAAAACCCCATCTGGTCAGCAGTGAGTTGCGGTTAAGATTGATAGTGACACCGGACACATCTGGACTTGCATGCATATCATAGCTTTAACAAATATTTGAAATGTTCATGTTCTGCTTCCGTTTCCGCTGCGTCGCTAATGTGAGGATCGACGTTGCTAACGCAATCTTACGGTTCTCTGCAGTCTTCCAGTAGCGAGAGCAGTTGGATCAGCAGTCCGGATCACGCCGCAGGGAGCAGCAGCAGTAGCCATTGTGGAGTGGATGTTATCGGGCCCCACGGCGGACCCGGCCCCGGCCCCTGCAGTCCCCGTAGTGCCTCTAAGCAGTCGGACCCCACGGACCTGCTGTCCTACCAGCACATCAACCGTGTCCTGAGGGAAGCCCATTTCCACAGCTTACAGAGCCGAGCTCAGTCCAAGCACAGGTGACTTTCAGGGACAGATTAACCCCATAGCGGACCCCTAGAAGACAGGGTAAAACTTCTTCATCTCCATCCTCATTCAAACCTGCTCCTACTTTCTAGATCTCTCTGCTATAGCTCATTTTATGTTGATATTTTATTGGATGGAAAACATGCCCTGGTACTGTAAGCTCTTTGACTAACTAGAGCACAAAAGTGTTCATTGTAAGCAATAACGGCTTGATTATGATGCAAACTTTTGTGACTTTCACACTGTGTACTTTTCTTCTGAAAACAGCTGTATTGAGAATTAAGATGCAGTTTAGTGGGGATTTGCACTTGGGAATTTATGTTGATCAGATATTGATGTGGACCATATAGCAATGCAGCTGAGCACATTTAGATGGGAGGCATAAACATGCACCTCTGATTAGTGAACTCCATTGCAGTGCTGTAACAAATGCATAAAGAAGCCAGTCGATTTAATATCAAAGACTGCACTGATGGGCAGATCTGGGGAATTTCTTTATAATCTTGAAACAGTGGCTCAGAGGTTCTGCCGGATCTCTTGCCTCCCAACCATCACTGAAGCTGGTTGCTCATCCAGGCATCAGGCCTTCGAGACCCTGCGGAGGATTTCTTGTGTGCTATTCAAATACTGCATTTTAAAGATTGTTGTTTATTTTACTATACCTTTTTGTAATGAAAGATGTACATTACATTTTACATTCAGATCATCTACATTTCTAAATAAAGATGGATGTTCTTAAGCAAACCTGTGTGCTTAACTTGTGTGATCTGTAGAATAAAATCCTGTGAAATTCTGTAGTTGTAAAAGCTATACGTCCATGTTGTCAAAAGAAAAAAAGTCTTTAATTACCAAATTCTCAATTAAATGCTACACTGCCAATAATCCTGAACTGAGATCTACCATTTAGAGAAGTCACCGTTACCTTCTTCAGGAACGAGTCCTAAAACCTAAAAAGTTTAGTTAGCATTTTTGCACTTAACAGTTCCATCATCCTGAAGTCAGTTGTTTTTTGAATGGGTTTCTGGTTAAACGCCTGAAATAAGGTCTGTGGTTAACACAAGTATTATTCTACAATATAAAATACATCCGTATTAGCCTTGTGATATATTTTTTTTCTTGTTCTGAAAAAGACAGTCGTTAACAAGTCTCTAAATGGGTTAAATGTCATCACACCGAACAGGAAAGTTCATCTACTCAGTCCAGAAATATCCTATTGGCTTTTTGTCGAGGTAAACCAAAATGATGCTAACTTCTGGATTAGCCTACAAAATACATCATCACTGGAGTGCTCTATTTCGCTCCACAGTGAAAGTCCACTAGCTTAAGCATTGAGAATTACTTAACTGAGTCTCCTGTACTCATCTTAAATTTGTGACCCTGGAGCACAAAACCAGTCTTAAGTCGCTGGGGTATATTTGTAGCAATAGCCAAAAAAACATTGTATGGGTCAAAATTATCGATTTTTCTTTTATGCCAAAACTTAATAGGATATTAAGTAAAGATCATGTCCCATGAAGATATTTTTTAAATTTCCTACCATAAATATATCAAAACTTCATTTTTGATTAGTAATATGCATTGCTAAGAACTTCATTTAGACAACTTTAAAGGCAATTTTCTCAATATTTTGATTTTTTTGCACCCTCAGATTCCAGATTTTCAAATAGTTGTATCTCTGCCAAAGATTGTCCTATATCCTAACAAACTATACATCAATGGAAAGCTTATTTATTATTATCGATTTTTCTTTTATGCCAAAACTTAATAGGATATTAAGTAAAGATCATGTCCCATGAAGATATTTTTTAAATTTCCTACCATAAATATATCAAAACTTCATTTTTGATTAGTAATATGCATTGCTAAGAACTTCATTTAGACAACTTTAAAGGCAATTTTCTCAATATTTTGATTTTTTTGCACCCTCAGATTCCAGATTTTCAAATAGTTGTATCTCTGCCAAAGATTGTCCTATATCCTAACAAACCATACATCAATGGAAAGCTTATTTATTCAGCTTCCAGATGAATTATAAATCTCAATTTCTAAAAATTGACCCTTATGACTGGTTTTGTGGTCCAGGGTCATATTGCTTATTGTACTACAATCCCAGAATATATGGTTTTATAATCTATGTCTTATAGTTTTGCATTGTACTGTCATTTCTGATTTGATTGCCACTTGCAATGCTTCATTTTCATATTTACTTATGAAAAAAAACTCAAGTACAGAGTCTTGTATCTTTGTCTTTAAGTCTGATTTTCAAATAGTTTTTTTTAAATATATGAAATCTGGAAAAGTGGGCAGTCACTGTTGCACCCTGTTATACGCGGCTGCACTGCTGCATTCTCTTACTATATATTCCTGCGTGTAATAAATGACAGAGGCAAGGGGGAAAAAAATTCTTCCTTTTTCTGGATGTGTCGTGAATTACAGCTCAGTGCCATTAATGAGAGATGACCTGTGCTTCAAGGAGTTGTAGGAAAAGGTCACTTTAATTAGAGCACTACATGTCCTTGTCACATTGCACTGCATAACAGATTACATATATTAATTTGTCTCTGGTAAGCACGGCTCCCCGTCTCTGCGTCCTCATTAGAGCTCCTGCAGAAAGCACAGGCCTTCCTTCACTGCACGAGCATGATAGATGTCTCCAATACATCAATGGAAAGCTTATTTATTCAGCTTCCAGATGAATTATAAATCTCAATTTCTAAAAATTGACCCTTATGACTGGTTTTGTGGTCCAGGGTCATATTGCTTATTGTACTACAATCCCAGAATATATGGTTTTATAATCTATGTCTTATAGTTTTGCATTGTACTGTCATTTCTGATTTGATTGCCACTTGCAATGCTTCATTTTCATACTTACTTATGAAAAAAAACTCAAGTACAGAGTCTTGTATCTTTGTCTTTAAGTCTGATTTTCAAATAGTTTTTTTTTAATATATGAAATCTGGAAAAGTGGGCAGTCACTGTTGCACCCTGTTATACGCGGCTGCACTGCTGCATTCTCTTACTATATATTCCTGCGTGTAATAAATGACAGAGGCAAGGGGGAAAAAAATTCTTCCTTTTTCTGGATGTGTCGTGAATTACAGCTCAGTGCCATTAATGAGAGATGACCTGTGCTTCAAGGAGTTGTAGGAAAAGGTCACTTTAATTAGAGCACTACATGTCCTTGTCACATTGCACTGCATAACAGATTACATATATTAATTTGTCTCTGGTAAGCACGGCTCCCCGTCTCTGCGTCCTCATTAGAGCTCCTGCAGAAAGCACAGGCCTTCCTTCACTGCACGAGCATGATAGATGTCTCCAAAATGACCCTGGATCAGTTTATCAGTCCTCTGAAGAATAAGAAGCACAGCCTTGATTTGGAATATATTTTTTAAATATTGATATTCAATACCGACTGACTAGATGTTTGCCAAAAATGTTAGTATTGTTAGTACAGCCTCAAAGCCATGGGTGTATCTACAGTAGGTTGTTGCTGCAGTGTTCTAAACATTTATGCTATATGTTTGCTAGGGTATTTTATGTAGATGCTTAATAGCCCATCTCAAAGTCTCTAGCAATGATTCAAGTCTATGGGATGTTTTAAAGAGTTTAGTGAACAAACCAAACGAATCTTTTTCATAATGTCATTGCAAGTCATAGTTTCTCTTCAAAATAGAGATTGTTCTTTACAGAGCTTCTGTATCACCCAGATAAACTGGCTAAACCCACACTGTAAAAAATGTTGATTTTGTAATTGTGATTGCAATTTTAATGGTAAAAGACTGTTAATGTCACTCTTTCATGTGTGCATGCATTTTGTTTGACATTAGTAGCACCTATATACACCTGGCTTGACATAGCTGCACGTTCTCATCCTGGCTCAGCAAACGTGCAACGGACTAAGCCAGGATGCGCTGATTAAACTAGGTCAAGCCGCGCCTTTTCTGTTATCCTGGCTTTCTTAAGTCTACTTTTGAGCAATGCCCCTCTGGTTGAGCTGCACTAGAGAAGGCAACGAGCAGTGTTGGGGAGTAACTAGTTACATGTAACGGCGTTACGTAATTTAATTACAAAATAAATGTAACTGTAATCAGTTACAGTTACTAAGAAAAAATGTGTGGCAACGAGTGTTATCACTATGTCGGAGACACGCTAGCTTTCCCAAGGCAGACGAACTTAGAGTGGTTAAAATCATCAGGGTTTAAATCGCGCTCAAATTGAATTGATTTTGACATCGACGCGTTTCAGTAAGGTGGGGCATAGAGGAGAAACAATAATGTACAGTATGTGGAAAATAATGTGTTTTTTTAACCTTAAACCGCATAAATACATTTCATTACACCAAATACACAAAATAATGTTCTTTTTAGCAGCATCATATGACCCCTTTAAATCAAGTGTTTACTTCCAAGCCCTTCTAAAAGCATCACAATAGATACCAGCAGATGGCAGCAGCGTTCTTAAAATGCATTGTGAAAGTTAAATTCTGGCATTTCAAGTCAAAAGCTGTTTTAAAAACAGCTACTTTATTTGTAATATTAAACAAATGACAAAAAAGCATTAATGATGAACACATTAACTACAAGGACTAATACCACGTTGACCCTCACGTGTTTTGTGGTAAAGTGTGTAGCGCAGCGAGGAAGGAGAGAGTTAAATCAGCTGTCCTTGTTCTGGTGTCTGGTGCACATACGTTGTTTTATTTTTACCATCCACCATTAAAATCTGGGTTACACTCGAGGCCTTTTGGTCCTTGTCCCGCTCCTGAAATGAGAGGCTGCAACCAGAATATACGACTATAGTAGTTTATAAGGCCTGCATGCATATTTAGCAGGGCCAACAAAATCCTCACAGTTTCAAGTCAACATGAAATCAACATGTGATGTACTTCCTTAATAAACATGTCTGCTCTTACAGTGAATGCTGCATCAGTGCATGTTATTTCAAAGACAACACCTCTGAAGCAACTTTCAGTTTTTGCTGATGTCACAAATCCCTGATACTTTTCCAGTCCTCCCATTCAGTCACATATAGACAGCTGGTTAGAAAATAGATTTCATAGAATTCATGCTCCATACGCAGAGCACATTTAAAAGTTTAGCTCTAGTAAAAAGACCCTTACTTCTCAGTTCATGGTATAGGCCAGTATGTGAAACTGGATTCTCACAGCTCTGAAAGGACGGTGAGTGAGTCCCAGACTGACTGTCCACACACAGCTTTGGTACTTTTCTTCACTCCTTGCCAGAGCGGGCTGTTTAGGTAGCTGTTGGATGGCTCGGGCCTGGTGTGAAACTGGCACAAGAGCTGCTGGTCTTCAATCGTGAGCCAATACTAACATCTGCTACATCAGTGGAAAAAAGCTCTTCACGGCCTCCTCCATCCCCAGCTAATGACTGGCCACTCCTGCCATTAAAGCCGTATTACCTTCGTAGGACTCCATACAGAGAAGAGAGGAATACCCTGGAAAACCACAGGGGAGAGAGGTGCAAATGCAGTCTACTGTTAGATGGACACATTAATGGCTGGATGTTCTGATTGGGATAACTATATCCCCATATCTAATGAACACTTCTGGGAGCTGTTCAGGGCTTCTCATAGAAATCAAATGCATACCTTACATCAGCTAGATGGAGGTTATATTAACTCTCCACAGGATAGTGTTGAAACACATTAGACATACAAATTCACCCATAGATATTTTTCATGGGTGA